CTGTCTCTGTCTCTGTCTCTCTCATTCTCACTTTGTCTCCTCTCTCTTTCTCTAATCTCTCTCTCTCTCCCCTCCCCTTTCTTTCTCTCCTCTGTCTGTCTGTCTGTCTCTCCTCTCTGTCTCTCTTCCTTTCTCTGTCTCTCTGTCTCTATCTCTGTCTCTGTCTCTCCTCTCTCTCTCCTCTGTCTCTTTCTCTCCATTTCCTTCTCCTTTTCTCTCTGTCTATCTGTCTGTCTGTCTGTCTGTCTGTCTGTCTATCTGTCTATCTATCTATCTCATTCCTTGTCCTAAGTTGACCCAAGATCCCCCTTAGGACCTGGGAAAAGAATCCTGTTTTGTCTCCCAGACCATCCCTGGGCCCATTTCAGTATTTACCCACTCTTTGCCTTGCTCTCAGCCATTCAGTAAGCCTCCTGAGAACTTGATGGGCGAGTGGACTGCGGGAAAGGGGCCTCCTTTCCCCTCATCCCAACTAAGTCAACAAAGAGGTAAATAAGACAGTGCTGTTGTCAACCCCCAGATCCAAATGATGCACCCTGACACCCACAGAGATCCTCAAGTCCGTGCCCCAGGAGGAGTACTTAGAGAAGAGACTGGGAATGTTGAGCCTGGAGAAGAGAAGGTCCCATCCTGTGCCCCCAGGCTATGTTTACCCTGGCAAAGAACAAGAGAAATCTCTATCAGTCCCTCTTTCTTGAAGAGACAGCATGGTGGAGTGGAGACGACCAAAGTTAGAATTGGGAAGAGCTAGGTGTTTAGCTCATCTTCGACCCTGTCCAAGCAGCAGTCCTGGACCCCTCTCAACAGGGCCTCAGTGTCTGACGCTAGATCCTTATCACCAACCTCCATTCTCCAGCATCATGAGCTTTAGAGCATGAAGGACCCTTAGAAATCCTATGCAGTCCAATGCTCACATTCTCATTTTAGAGATTCAGAAAGCAGGTCCAGAGAGGACAAGGGAATCAGAGCTCCTCACTAACTGTACAACCTTGGACAAGTCACTTCTCTCTGAGCCTCAGTTTCCTCCTCGGTAATAGGGGGATAATAACGGCTGTTGCACCAATCTCCTCAAGTTGTTGGGAGGCTCGCGTGAGGCACGTAAAGTGCTTTGAGGATTTTATTTGTTACGTGAATGCCAGTTATCATTCTTTCTTTCTTCTTGCCTTTTCCTTCTTTTTCTCTTTCTTTCTTTCTTTCTTTCCTTGTTTCTCTCTTTCTCTTTTTCTATCTCTTCTTCTTGCTCTCTCAGCAGAGCTCAGTCCCCAAGGCAGCTGGCCCAGCCCTGCCCCCAGCCAGGGGGGCATCCCAGTTGGCCCAGCGTCAAGAATGCAGGGAGGCCGGGACACGGGAACACGGGAACGCCTTCCCCCTCTCCCTTATGACTCAAGATCAATTCCTGGCTGCCTGAGCTGGACAGCGGTTCCCAAAGTTGCTGAGCAGAGCTTCCCCCCCACACACAGAGCTTGGTACAGCCCAGAGTTGTCAAGTTCGCAGCAGCAGTCTCTGCCTCAACTGGGAAAGTTTCCTGTGACTCTGCCAACCGTCCGGACCAGAGGTTTCCTAAACCAGGTAAGTCCTGGGGACCCTGGGCACAGGGCTCTCCTGGGAATCTCCTGCCATCCTGGCTCTCCAGGGAAGTCCCGGGCTCAGCTGGTACTCAGGCAGCTGCTGGTTGGACAAGGCAAGGCTGGACAGCATTTCTGAGATCGGCACAGTTGCTAGGACGGGCTCAGAGAAGCTGGTCTCTGAGCTGTGCTCCTGTGGCAGGCAGGTAGTGAGGGCGATCAGTGGGCCACGAGCCAGCTCCTGGTCAATAGTTCAGTGAGCTGCCAAGGGCTAGGAGGCACGAGCCGCTGAAGGGTCAAGCCCAGCTCTGCAATTTACAAGGTGGGTGACTTAGCTTCTTTACGTCGGTTCCTTCGTTTTCCATTCTTAAAACTGAAGAAATTCCACTAGCTGGCCTCTCACATACCTCCTCGCTCTCCGTCTGCAGCCTGGGGAGGTTTTCTCTGTAAAGAGCCAGCAAACAAAGGTAGATGCCTCAACACACCTTAGGATCCTAGACTTTAAGCTGGCAGGGACCCATTCCGTCCAACTCCCTCACTTTGCAGATGAGGAAACTGAGGCCCAGAGAGAGTAAGTGATTTGCCCAAGGTCACCCAGGTGGTGAGTGGCAGAACCCCAGGAGTGGAAGTTAACCACCACTCCTTCCGCGGCAAGCCTGGGCTCCCCCATCCATAATTGGAGCTGCAATTAGCTTGCAGCAAGGTGTCCTGGCCCCATGAACTGCCTCTTCTGTGTAGCCTGCTCCGGCGCTCCTGGGGACTGGGGAGCCCCCGCAAGCGGGACTGGATCCCCCCCCCCCCCCTCCCCCCAGCAGGTCCTCAGTTTCTGAGACTGGCTCGGCCAGCCACAGCACTGCTAACTCCCATTCTCCCTCATCCCGAGTTTGAGAGTGTGAAGGACCCTTAGAAATCGTGTCCGGTCCAATGCCCTCCTTCTCATTCTATAGATTCATAAAGCAGGTCCCGAGAGGAGAAGGGGACGGGAGCCTCCTACATTCGAATTCCGGCTCCTGGCAGTAGCAGGCTTCCCTGCCTCCAAAGGCAGAACTTGCCCTCCCTCCCTTGCGCTGCACCGCCTTCCCCCATGTTGCTGCTGCCTGGGCTGGGCTCCTATTCCCCAGAATGAGTGCCCGGTTCTGCATCCCTGGACCCTCCCAGCCCATTCTCCCAATCCTTAGCCTACATAGCTGGGGAGTGCCAAGGAGAAGAGCAGAGAGCGGGGCTTAGGAGGGCCAAGAGAAGTCCAGAACCAGGGCTCTCCCCAGTGGCTGGTGTTTGAGGAGTATGTCAGATCATGCTGCAGGAGGAAGGGCTTCGGAACCAGAGCCAGATGCCCTGGATTCAAATCCTAACCCTGCCACTCACTACTTGGATGATTTTGAGAAAGCCCCTTGTCCTCTCTGAGCCTCAGTTTCTCCATCCATAAAATGAGGGGGCTGGCCTCTAGCACCTCGTGTCTCTCTGACCAAAGCCTCAGCCTCCCTCCCCTCTGGTCCTTCCCGCCTCCGAAGCTGAGCCCCTATTTCCACCTTGAAGGAGCCAAAGCGGGGGAACGGGGTGGAGGGACCGGGTGAGCTTCAGCACCTGCAAGCTCAGCTCCCAGGCAGCAGGCCCCCCCATAGGAGCCTCAAGGTATCTCTGGGGTTCTGCCTCCCCCTCCCCTCAAGGGCCTTGTGTTCCAACGACCAAGGTCTCTTTTCAAGGTCTCTTCCTCCCCTCCTCTTTCCCCCCTCCCATTTGTTTTCTCTGTCACTACTTTGAGAGCCCTGCTGGGGCCGTTGTCTCCAGCTAAAACCCCTACTTATGGCTCTGCCGTGATTCCCTTCTGTGGGGAATCAGTCTCCCCTTGACAAAGCCTTGGGGCCAATTGAACTCTTTTCCGAGCCATCCCTGGGAGGGGAAAACAAGGAAAAGATGAAAGGCAGCATCCTGGAATACTGTGGAGGAGAGAGGAACACCAAGGGAAGTCTGCTACTTCCTAGCTGTGTGACCTGGGCCAGTCCACGTCCGCCTCTCTGGGCCTCAGTGTCCTTACCTGTAAAATGAGGGGCTCGAAATCCTATGACATCCTGTCAGTTGTTCAGGCTACAAGGGGTCTCAGAGGCTGCCCAGTCTAACTACTTCGTGGTAGAGATGAGGAAACTGAGGCCCAAGGATGGAAAGGCATTTCTTCAAGATTTCATAGACTGAGAGCTGGAAGGGGACTTAGAAAACATTTAGTCCAGTCCCTTCCTTTTTGCCACAGGGGAAGCATGAGGTGCCCAAAGTCAGGCAGTTGGCAAGCGGAATTGGAAGCCAAATCCTCTGACCTCCATTGTATTCACTCTGCTGGGCTATGGCACCATCAAGAAGCTTGGCCTCCATGGCTTTGTCAGGGACTGAGACCAATACAGGGGGACCCTCTGGGACAGGCAGGCACTGGGCTCCCAAAGGCTTAGAGGAATGAGGCTACAGCCCCAGATCCAAACACACACACACACACACACACACACACACACACACACACACACACACAC